AAAACAAAACAAAAAAAACTTAAAATTTTAACTATCGTTCACTAAAGGAAATGAAAGGGGAGACCGAACTGACACTTGGAGCCAAGGTTTTGTTTGGTAGATGATGAGCTGCTGTTTTCAGTTTATCGTACTGGTTTTCAGGCCTTGCATTTTGAGAAACTTTAGATTATTTACATTCAAATGTACTTATTAAGCATCTACTAGATATAAAGCCCACATGGAAGAAGCTTCCAATTCTTTAACTTCTGCCTTCTCGAAAAATCTGAAACACAATTCGTTTTCATGTATTAGTTTAGAACTTTGTGACTACGATTGGTTAAAAAATAAGTGCCAGTTAAAGTGAAGAAGCCCATGGTTTTAAGAAACTAAATCAGGAATTGATAAAAGTGAAGATATAGAACGAGGCATTTTAGTCAGTGCTATTTCTATTTTTTCTCAGCAGGGTAAAAAGAGAGAGATCAAAAGTCTACTAGAATTTGAAATGAGAAAAGGCATTGTAGACCAGGCTTCTCTAGATTGTGAGTTCATGTTCATGAAGAATTTGGGAAATGATTGTTCAGGAATAGTCATAAAATGCATAATTTTCCAAATTAATTCACATTTAGACCACAGTTGTTTTGGTTTTTATTCTGCAATAGACTGTAAGTTCTTAGAGGGCAGAGACTGTCAAGTTTCTCTGTGGTCCTTTGGTGGCCCCTAAGGAGTGGAATCTGATATTCAATACATGTTTATTGAATGCATGAGTCAATGAATGAAGGGAATCAGATGTCACTGATTAAAAAAATCTTCTTCAGTAATTCCTCCCTGTAGATGAAGTCAAGACAACCTGTAGGTCCTGAGGTGTTTTTTCTGTTTTGTTTTGTTTTTTATTTATTTATTTTTTATAAAGAAGAGCTGCTTTTTATTTTCACAAGCCTTGAGATCAAGGAATTGATTCTAAGACACTGGTTCCCAAATATTGGTTGGAGGCCCAGTGACAGCTTTGATGAAATTTTCACCTGTCCTTGATAAATATGATAAAAGCTAGAACAATCTGGGAAGCTTTTTACAAAGGTGAATTTATGCTAAAGGCCTGACCTCTATTCTGAAGTTGTGTCCTTTCTGCTTTTCTGGTATTGAAATGTGTTCTGTTATGGACAAAGGTGATAGTACATTATATGCATGCATGTGTGTGGTTAATATCCTGACTGGGCAAAATTAATGGTGATGGCCCTCTATCAGTTGTGTAATTAAAAAAAATTTTTTTTTCAACTTTATAATCAATGAAATTCAAAAGTCTACTCAAATCAAGGGGAGTGGCTGGCTGGAGCTATTGGAGACATACCAAGTTAAGCTTCAAGTTCTGGGGATAGATTCTGAGTTTTGGGGATAGATCCTGCTCTGCCGGTTGAGGACCTTAATGATAAGGAACAGTACTAACAGCAAGGTTCCAGTATAACTTTCTGCCGCAGTGTCTCAGTATAAAAGGAGCAATTTAAATTCAAAAATAAATGCTTCTGGGCCGGCCCGGTGGTGCACTGCTACAGTGTGC